AATGTCACATTTCCAACAACGTTTGCGGCTCGACAGCACGAGAGACGAAACTGACAGGTGAAATGTGGGTGGTCACCACACACACACACACACACACACCTGCACAGACCAGTGTGGCTTTTCCATTTAAGCTAATGGATCAAAGCTGAAAATCAATACATGTGGTGTAACAGCAGCAGACAGGCTCTGTGACATCATCACCGCCGCCGCCGCTGTTGTAAAAACAGTTCTGTAATCCTGTTACCCCTCGCACTCCATCGATCTTCGTCTCCTCTCCTCCCACAGAAAAGGGAGGAGGTGTGGAGGTGAGAAGTGGTAAAAGGGATTTGTTAAAGGATGAGTATGCAGGAATTTTGACTTGGAGCAAGAAGCAAGTACCTTTTTTAGTCTACAGGGGGCGCTAGTTTGTGTCTTCCATGAATCTAAACCTGGTCAAAGCTTTTATACAGAGTTATTTTTGCTTTTGAATGTTTTGAAAATGTTTCTCTTCACAGTCACGTCTCAGGCCGAAGGTTGGCTTAGATTTGAGGAGCTGTTCAACAAATTAGCAGCAAATTTGTAAAAAAAAAAGGTTTAAAATACATAAAAGCTCAAATTAAAAACAATCTTGACTTAAATTATCCAAATATATATTCTATATAAAACAATGGTTTTATGTATCATCAATAACTGGACCTTTTTTGAGTTCCCCCCCCTCCTCCCTCTGAGCTGATCCTGACTCTCCCCCACACCACAGCTTGTTCATCCTCTGAGTTGCATTACTGCAATCTGCCACCAAAACACATGCTGGCTATTTGCAAAAAAAAATAAAATGGGAAAACCCCTACGGAGACATGGTGCAGAAGAACACGCCAACATCTGTACAAACGTTTGTACGTTTCTTTCTTTTCTGTAGAAAATCCCTGCATACTCCAGCCCAACAGAACCAGAACCAGAACCAGAACCAGCCGGAGGTGAACTGTATCTGAGTCCAGAGCCTGGACCTTCACCTTCACGATCACACTCTGTAAACAACCGCAGCCCAACGCTCACTCCAGCGGCTGCTCCGCTACTACTGACAGTGTGGTCAACAACAAGATCACCTGAAAGAACATGAGCCTGGATGCAGGGCTCTAAAAAAACAAAACAAAAAAAAACAAAAAAAAAAGTCCAAACTTGAAATGACAGTGATGAAGTTCAGACAAAACAAACAAACAAAAAAAAAATCTCTTTCAACTTCTTTCTTGTACTTGCAGCCTAGTGCCAGTGGGTGGCAACAGAGAGCTCCTCATAGATGCTTCTCTTTGGTGACCCCGTTCTGTACATGTTTTCTGCAAAAAAAGACAAACAGAGGCAGAGAGTGAGCGGCTCAGCTGGTGCTCAGCAGATGTTAGCTTAGGATAATAATCCACACGTCCGTATGGCCGCCATCGCCGCCGCCGCCATCGCCATCGCCACCGCCGCCTGGTTGATCTGCTCAGTCTGTGTTACACAAGCCTGATCGATCTGCTCCTCCTGCACCGACACCTGCTGTCAGTCCACGCTCTGAGCTGCCGAGGTCAAAGGCCGCTGTGATAATTAATCTCTGGAGTTCACACACGTCGGCTGAAAGGTAACCACGCAGATAAAAACCGCTCGATCTGTCGAAACTACTGATAAAACGGAGGAAGGAGACCACCGCCGTACACCATTAGAAGGTTTTTTTATTAAATATTTATATTATTTTTAAATCCTTATTATACTTCAGAGCAGAAACACGCTCTGTGACGGCGTCTATATTTTGAGGTTGACTGTGTTGCAGTTCAGGTGAACCTGAACATCTTTGTCATCATGAAATTATTATTATTTATTTCTGTCTTTTCTGAAATTAAATCTTAATTAATGTTAGAAATCTGTTCAATACAGTCTATGATGTTTTCTTTTTTAAAACTTCCAGATCTGGAATGTTTATAGTAACTGAACAGTTTTTTCTCTGGACTTTCAGGGTCAAATCCACAGAAATCCACAGGATAAATAATATTATGCTGCAGTACATTTTACATCTTTATGGGATGTTTACTGCCTTTGCCTTAGTTTCCTGATTATCTGTGAGATTGTAAGACGATCCTCGTCATCGTGGGACTAATAAAAGGATCGGTTATCATCGTCTCCACCTTTATTCTTTCTTATCGACCAAAGATACAAAAGCTGGAACAGAGAACGGAATCTCTGCTCTCGTATCGTGGATCTACTCTCAGGCCCTGGATCGTGCTTTGAAAAAAAAAAAAAAAACCCGGCCCGGATTAAATAATAAACACAGAGCCACGTGGACACACACACACACTAACAGTGTCAGGAGCTACGGTCTCTCGTCTCCCGTCCCACGTCTCGTGTCCCACGTCTCACGTCTCTCGTCTCACATCTATCGTCTCGCCTCGTCTCACTGTGAAGCTCTAATTCCTCCAAACAGATTCACGGACTTCAAAAGAGTCAGCCATTACAAATATATCCATTTTCTTAACTTTGAAGTAAAGCATCAGGAATATTCTCATTACCATTTCTCTGCTGTTTAAAGGGCTGTTCCATCTTTTTCTTTTCTGCTGGCAGCTGCGTTTTCAGTCCAGACTCCAAAAAGGTGGAACTGTACCTTTAACAGCACAGGAGTGCAGCAGCTTATAGGCCATAGATCAGGCATCGTTAATGCGCCGCCTTAAAAGTAATCTTTTAGTGATGAGGAAGTTCTACAAATAGCACGTGAAAGTCGCGGCTCTGGTTTCCTGCCAAACTTCGAGCTCCTAAAAATAAACGCTGCCTTTAAGACTGCGGCCTGAGTGAAGTCGTGAGGCGTTCACAGTGCTGCTCACCCCTGTCCGCTGTGATGTCCAGCATCACCGTCGCCGTTGTCCTTCACCATCTTTGGGTCCGCGTGGAGGCCCGCCGCCGCCGCCGCCGCCCTGCCGTCGTCCTCCTCCTCGTACTCCCTGACGTCGTTCACCTCCTTCATCTTCAGCACCTTCACCACGAAAACAACGATGAACTGCGAAGGAAAAAAAAAAAAAAAAAAAAGCAGAGTTAGCATTAGCGTTAGCTACATGCTATCGCTATGTGTGTGTGTGTGTGTCCTCGCACCAAGAACCAGTAGATGTTCATGAGCAGCAGGGCGAAGAGGAGCGTGTTGAAGAAGAAGTAGAAGGGCAGGGTGGGAACGGACTGGAGGCCCGACACACACGTGGCGTACAGTACTTTGAGAGGGAACCAGTAGAGACGGAACCAGAACCTGGAGCAGGAACTCATCATCATCATCATCATCATCATCATCATCATCATCATCTCAGTGAAGGACTACGTCAGCTTTGAGTATTCCAAAAACTATTGTTTCCTACATCAGTTCTAATAATCACATTCTATTCAGAACAAAAACAAATGGAGAAAAAAAAACCAACAAAAACGACGAGGCAGAATTGGTGTCTGACCAGGTGATGCTGAAGCTNNNTGGTAGCCTCCGCCGCGGTTCTTCAGGTAGATGTTGAGCTTGGTGAACTCCAGCTGGATGTCGTTGATGTCGTGGAGGAACAAGACCAGGATTCCTACGTTGTGGTATCTGTGGAGCAGCAGACGGACAAGACAACGTCACACCCTGGACCGGGGGGGGTGGCGGACCAATGACCACTCTTGGTCCATGTGATAAACAGCCAATGAGGCGCTCACAGCTGAAGTCTCCCTCGAACGATTCCTAGAAAGCCCAGACTGAGGCGTTTCTCTGAACTCTGATTCTTATCTCATTATTTGGGTTGAATTTATTTGCAGACAGAAAAACCTCAGAGACTTCACTGCTGTGATTATCAACCTCTTCTTCACACACACACACGCGTGTGTGTATGAAACTATCACACAACAGGAAGTGGATGACAGGAAGTCACGGTCACCCGCTGTGTTCACGTACAGGTCAAAGTGGAGACGGATACCTGAAGGCGTAGGAGAAGCTGATGAGGGCCAGCGTGATGATGTGGTGAACCACCATGACGGCCGAGTCCTTTCGCCACGCGTCCATGTACAGCGTGGCGTAGATGGAGTGGCCGTAGAAACTGCCCTGGATCAGGTAGGCGCAGTCTGCGGGGATACAGAGGAGCACGGCTGTGATTGGCTAAAAATAAGGACCTCCATGTTTGTGATCCACAAAGACAACACTGAGATTTAGACTTAAATGTACAGATGGGAACGCCATACTTAGAACATGTATAAAAAAGTATTGTTTGTAAAATTTAAAAAAAAAAAAAACAGCGTGTGCTTCCCTCCCTAGCCTGCTGGGGGTGCTGTAAATACAGTTAGAATTCTATTATTATTCTGGGTGTCAGACACACACTCCTGGGAATCACTCCATCCCATTCCATTTTATTTGCAATGAATTTGCATTACTGCATCTACTGCGTCAGCCCCCCCCACACCCCCCCGAAAACGTCTCGATGATTTGCAAATTAAAAATAAGAAGAAAAAAAACAAACAAACAGCCAAAGTCGACTGTTTGTCTTTGTCCAGACGTTTTTACCACCATACACTTCTAGTGGCGAAACTGAAATGATTTAAGTGAAGAAGATTTAAAAACAACAGAGCAGAGGAGTGGTCCAACATGAGGGTCGTTGTCCAACATGAGGATCGTTGTCCAACATGAGGGTCGTTGTCCAACATGAGGGTCGTCTTACACCAAGTATGACGTCGTCAGCAAATTACTCCACTTTTTAATCCTTATGCAAATTAATTAAAAAAAATCTTTAAACAAAGGCAGAAACTGAATGAAATGATTACATCATCACAAATAAAAAATAAAAAAATAAAAATCAAACCAAGACAGCGATGCCGTTGGACAGACATTTTATCACCACTCTCTTTAAATACTGCAGTGCCGTGTATTCAGTGACTTCCGGGGGTCGACGCCGCGGGGTCACGGGGTCAGCGGTAGAGAGATCTAGTTTTACCCAGGGTGAGAATCACAGACGGACGTGCGCCGGGGCGGCAGGGGCCTCGCTCGATTGGCCGAGACCTATCAGATGTTCAACGGAAACTTTCTCCTGGGCCGGTGGAGGAAGACCGGTCTCCAGTGGGATGGGGTTTCACTCAGGCCGTGTGTAATGTTTATTGATTGGACGCCCGTCATTAAACATTGAGAAGTGAGCCGCTAGATGGATCCCAACAGAACGGCTGCCAAGAGGACGGACACACACACACACACACACACCTGTCACACTGTAACTTCAATCTCCTCAGTCCGACTTCATCATCACTTCCTCTCGTCCTCACAGTCTCCGTCCAGTTGAGGCTGACAGAAGTCAGAGGAGACGGAGTGGAGTTTTACACCTGGGGGGGGGGGGGTAGGCACCACCATAAAGTACCACACCTCCCCGCCACGCGNNNAAGGCATGGGATGCGGAGTGGGTTTTTACCCTGGGGGGGCCGGGGGGGGGGGCAGTCACTACTATACACTCCCCCCCCCCTCAGTCATCCAGAGGGGCAACTGGAAAACGTCTTGCCCTCGTCCTCCACCAGAGCGTCTTCAGCTCCGACTGGAGCTGGAAATGTTCCGGCGTTCGGCCTCGGTGCGGCTGAACTCCTGACCACAACCAGCGTTATTTCTTTAATTCGAGGTCTAGTTTTTTCAAGTACGTCAATTATACACCAGAGTCCAGAGATTAACCCAGGACGCACGACGTACTTCAACCTCCAGAGTGAGCTGAACTTCCTGTGAAGACGTGTCCATCTGAACACTCTGACCGACGACCGCCTGACGTTTCATTGGCTCAGAATGACTTCCTCTCTCCAGCTACTCTCTGGGGTTCATTTTCCAGGTGAACTTTTCCTCACTTGGAGCTGGTGAACATTTGAAATGAGTCGTGTGTGTGTGTGTGTGTGTGTGTGTGTGTGTGTGTGTGACGTGGCTCTTACTGTAGAAGACAGAGGGCGGGTTGCTGAAGAAGGAGTAGGAGCTGAAGAAGAGCAGGTAGCTGGTGTAGGACCAGGACATGGTGTAGAAGCCCAGCTTCCATGCGCTCTCTGGCATCTTGGCCGCATCTTTGGGCAGCAGCCTACACCTCTGGGCTAAAGGCTGCAGGAGCGGAGGAGAGGGAGGAACCAGGTTAGACACAGAGTGGCGCTCACTTCGCAAATCACTTAGCCTGTGCTGCGGGCGTGTGTGCGTGCGTGTGTGCGTGCGGCTGAACTGCTGAGGCAGCGCGTCGTTGTAAATCCAACATGGACTCGTGAACGCACTGTGTGGCACAAACAACTCAGAGAGTACATTTCCTGTGGCTGCTCTTTTACAGCCCATTAAAAACACAGAGACGCAGCTGACGTTTGGAGACAAGTGTTAGGATTGGACCACAAAGTTTTTCTTTAATTCTGATAAAAAGGCCAGATTAGGATTAAAATAAAAGTATTAGACAGTGTGTCCATTGTAATTAAAAAAAAAAAAAATTAAAATTCCCAGACAACCCTGAAGGGGGTGCTATTCAGACACACTGTTCAGGTTTCATTTAACACTAATACCTTCACACATTTAAACTGTTCAAATCAATTTTAACAGCACCGTCAGGTCAGAGGTCAGTCACTAGTTTCCATTTGTGGTAACGACACGTTTGACCACTTTATTACAGTAAACGTCTTTGACTTTTGGGGGGATTTTTTCATCCTCTGGGGGGCATCAAAGTCACCTCGTGGGTCTCTCTCTATCCCTCTGAGAAAGAGAAAACATTTCCATCCACATACTTCCTCATTTCTTGCAAAATAAAAAAAACAAAACCACGCCTGACAGCTCAGCATGACACACTTCCTGAAGCCCTGAAAAAAACACCACATCATTAATCAACGTTCAATTATTGAACAAAAAGTCTCTCGACTGTCAGTCATTTAAAATATATTTTTCTGGAGTTTTAAACAGAACAAAAACGGTTCGACTCCCCGGGATCGTCGGCTGTTTCTCTCTGTTCACAGTGATTTGAACTGAACGTCTGGCAGGAACCACGGTTTGAGCAGCTGCCAGCACCAGTTTCTACTTTCTGTGTCGGGTTCATTACAAACATGACGGATGACGGAGGAATGTCCTTCACGTTCGCTCACGTTCTGCCTCACACGCTGGCTCAACAGACGGAGGTTGACGCTCGCCCACCCACTCACAGCGTGTTCCTCCTTTCCCTCAAATCTGACCTCTTGACCCCACAGCCTCAGTCGAACAATTAAAAAAAACTAAAATTCAAACCAGGGAATCATTCCTCTTTTTGACCACCGGGGGTGTTTGATTTATGGAAAAAGTTCAAGACCAAAAAAAGATAAAAGCAAAACATTAGGAACTAATTTCAGCAGGCGGGGGATTTCGGTGCAGGGGGGGTAAGGTGGACACACACACACTCACACACACACACACTCATGCATGTATTTAGGAAAGCGATTCAACGGTGTAACTGGAGTGAGGAGAGTGGACGCCGCCTGTGACAGTGATACACTCTCCTCTCAGCCACTCACTTGTCCACAGGACATGATCTGACCCTCGCTGATTGAATGACACACACACACACACACACACACACACACAAACACACACACAGCTGAATACAGACCATGTCATCTGCCCACGTTACTTATAGATGTTCCCACGTTTCTGTTTTTTTTTTGGGGTTTTTTTCCATTCGTGTCTGCGATCCGTCACGTGTGTGAATATATTTACTTATAGATGTTCCCACGTTTCTGTTTCTTTTTTGGGGTTTTTTCCACTCGTCTGTCTAGTTTAAAGATTTCTTCCGGAGCGAACGAGTTTCCTGCGTCCGTCCATCCATGTGGCAGGAAGTCGGCCTTGATCGCAGATAAAAATGTTAACAGCGACATATTTTGCGGTCCTAATTTGAGACCCACCCGTGGACTGGATGTTGGAGACCGAGACGTCTCCGTCCCATGGTGACACCACGGACGAAGGAACTGCAGATTAATCACAGGGTGGCTGTGGATTAATCATGACTGGCTGTAATTAGTCATGAATAATTAACAATCTGAGTTTTTTTTCTAAAACAACAAACAGATCCATCGTTGAATGGATCCTCAGTGTATATTTCAAATACATTAATGATATAAAACATGATATAAAATCAGGATCCCAACATGAAGGTGAGGAGGCCAACATCTCCCCCCCATTAAACTCCACTAAACAGGAAGTCAGAGCGCCGAGAGAACGGATATGGAAATGGACGATAGAAAACTGATAAACTCAAATTACAGCTTTAATAAAATCAAATCATCTTCATCTTCCCACTCACCCATCATCATCATCATCATCACCATCATCACCATCATCATCATCACCATCATCATCACCATCATCACCATCATCATCATCATCATCATCATCACCATCACATCACCATCATCATCATCACCATCATCATCATCATCATCCTCTCACTCTCTGTCTTGACTGATGTCTCCGTCTGTAGACGAACTCTCAGACGGAGACTTTTGTGTCACCACCTAAACCATCAGATCTCTTTCTATCCACCCCCACATCTGGAGTCCACAGCAGAGACGACTCCTTTCATTCCCTGACGTCGACGGTCGACGGACGATGCTGACTAAACACCAGCTGCACGTGAGCAGGAAACAGAAACACTGGAAGTCAGCGACCTCTGTGTCATGAAAGTCGTGACTGGAGAGAGCAGAACACCACCCACCTCCTCTACCCCCCCCCCCCCCCCCCCCCCCCTCTGTGGGGCTTTCGTTCTCACTCTTGCCCAATCACTACTTCCTCCTCTTCCCGCCCTCACATCTCCGTCCAGGACTGTGACATATATTTATAGAAGCCAGCTGTCAGCACAGACTGTAACCCCCTCCACTCCTTCACAGCATCACACAGCAACACCCCCCCCCCCCCCCCCCCTCCCCCCCCCCCCCCCTCCCCCCCCCCCCCCTCCCCCCCCCCCCCCCCCCCCTCCCCCCCCCCCCCCCCCTCCCCCCCCCCCCCCCTCCCCCCCCCCCCCCTCCCCCCCCCCCCCCTCCCCCCCCCCCCCCTCCCCCCCCCCCCCCTCCCCCCCCCCCCCCTCCCCCCCCCCCCCCCCCTCCCCCCCCCCCCCCCCCCTCCCCCCCCCCCCCCCCCCCCTCCCCCCCCCCCCCCTCCCCCCCCCCCCCCTCCCCCCCCCCCCCCTCCCCCCCCCCCCCCCCCCTCCCCCCCCCCCCCCTCCCCCCCCCCCCCCCCTCCCCCCCCCCCCCCCCCCTCCCCCCCCCCCCCCTCCCCCCCCCCCCCCTCCCCCCCCCCCCCCCTCCCCCCCCCCCCCCCTCCCCCCCCCCCCCCCCTCCCCCCCCCCCCCCCCTCCCCCCCCCCCCCCCTCCCCCCCCCCCCCCCTCCCCCCCCCCCCCCCCTCCCCCCCCCCCCCCCTCCCCCCCCCCCCCCTCCCCCCCCCCCCCCCCCCAACCCCCCGTTCCACGAAAACATCAGCCCACGCACGTTCACGCTCCACCACAGGAGCCGGAGTTCATCAGAGGGTCGAACCCTGGGCCGTATTTCTGGGACTCAAACCGACATGTTCATGTCGTGACAGATTATCAGACGTCGCCGTGGAAATAATCCAGTTACGCTTAATGACACTGGTCATCGCGACACACAGAACAATAAAATACTATTCCACTAGTTGGCAGCAGATGACTGTAAAAACACTAAAATCTCTGTGTGTTTCTTCAACTCCTGCGAGGGAGTCAGGTTGTGTTCAACTAAACAGGAGCAGGGATTTCTCTAAAGTCCAACAACACGTGTGTCAACAACTCAAACAATGGGAAACACTGCACTGCTGTCAAACACGAGTTACGTTAAAGGACAAAATAACCATGCTTGAATGATATAGATGAGTATTTAGTGCCCCCTATAGAGGGAATGGAGCTATACAAGAGGTATTGAAGGAAAATACAGGAGGATAAATAGTGAAAAATATAGAGCCATCATGGCAGATCAGAAGACGTAACGATTGTTCCGTAGTTCCCTCGGCAACCGTGAAGGGACACTGACAAAGACTGAAAAACTCCCCCGGTCTGTGTTCCCCTCCTCACCCGTTCTCTCCCCTCTTCTTTCTCTCCTAATCTGCAGCTGTGCTGCCAGCGCTCTCTCCAAAAATGTTCCTCCCGCTTCCCATGTCTTTCCTGGAAGCAAGTGACACAAGTGAGGACAGAGTGGACTCCACAGGCCTGAGGGACAAAAATGTAAACTGGAGCAGTGAGAGTTCTGCTCAGCCTCGCTCGTCCTTCAGTTCTGGGGTTTGGTGAAGCTTTGACAACTTCAGTTTTTTTTTTAATAATCCACATATTTATTCAAAAAGATAATGAACTAAAGTCATTGGACATCCTTTCCTGTTGGTGAGCTGAGGCCTAGCTGTCTTTGACAACCAATCCCTACCAACCTTCAACATCACCTTATCACTGTGACTAAGGATAAAAAAAAACCAAAAAACTTTTTTGAGTCATGACATTCCTCAACCCCATTACTGGAAGTGACTCAAATGGTCGTCAGACAGAAATGAGTCAACGGAAACTTTTCCTTTTTACCAACAAACACCTTATGGCGACAGATCACCACCAGGGACACAGTTAGACAAAGGTAGGGGTGAAATGTGGACATTGTTGTCCTCTGTCCTACAACCGTTACAGCCTGGTCATACATGCCGTCTCAGTGAGACACCAGTCAGTAAGATCCTTCATATCCAATAAACCAAAACCACTCAGAGGATGTTGAAGCCTCACTTCATTCATTCATTAACAGATAGTTTGTGTGAAGAGTCAACTGAAGTGTAAAAATATATATACGGGACTATCAGATCAGATTTTCAAATCTCAATTTAAAAAATGAATAATAAAAAATAATTTAAAATATTTCCTATTTAAAGGAAAACATATGTTGTTTATTTTTTTAAACCGTTTTTTTTTTAAAATGTTTTCAGCCAACCAGCAGCAGTCGCCCCCTGATGGCCCAGAGTGGTGCAGCGGTCGGCGTCTTTAGTTTTAATATCTGATCAGGACGACTCTTCATCAAGACCATATGGACCTGTTACAGACATTATAATCCTATCATTGGCTTAGTAG